GTATTCGGTTTTGGAATCGTGATACTCCAAAAAAATTTACTAGTTCTTTGTTTTAACATCCTGGGTTGAAATATAATTGTCATATACAAATTTTATATATAAAATTTTAAATTGATCTATTAAATATTTTCTTTAAAACGAAAAGACGTCTAGAACGCGGTACACATCCACCTTCCCGATATGTAACATATTCCAAAAATTGATCAACCGCTCATATATCCAATTCGATTTGAATCGGCTCAGTCGAAACTAAGATACACGAGCGCACGCACGCAAACTAGCATACCGATAAAATGATTAACCTGCGCCTACAAATAATTCCTTTACGCTTCCGTACCATCAACGGAAGTGCATTCTCATCGAAAATTTGACATTCGAAATTTGGTGCCATCCGCAACCTCGAAGAAAAATTTTAGAGAAACAAAGTCGTTATCATGCCAGTTCTTACAAAGTATGTTTCATTTTTGGCTTTTTTTTTTTCAAAAAAAAATTTTTAAAAGTAAATTAGCTTCACCCAATCCGTCAGTGACGGTTCACCTGTGTGTTAGCAAAATTTCTACACCATTTTAGACAGATAGTTGAAAATAAATACGCAAAAACATGTTTATAAGCTTTTAAATAAATTACTCACCCCGACCCCAACCCCCCTCCCCCTTTCCAAATCCTTCCGTTCTAAATTCACAACCCCTCAATATCAGAAAAATACCATTCTTTCACTATTTATTGTATCGAAACTACAAAAATTTTTTAAATTCCGCAGACTCAGAAAGACAGTAATACTAGTCCAAACTGTCATAATTCCAATCAATTTATCGCTTATCCTAAACGATAACTTTGGTAAAAATCCTAACTATATATAAATATACAATTAAAATTTCTTTTATATGTATAACAGTTGGCCATCTTATTCAATATAGAAAAAAATTTTTATAATAATTAAGTATTCCTTATACATTTATTATTTATAAACTTTTTTAATATTTTTTTTGGTACATTTATTTAATAAGTTTTCTTATTAATTTATGAAAATTCACACATATATCCATGTACATATAAATAACATAATGTAGTTATATATAATATATATTGGGTACATAAGTGGTACAGAAATATCTACTTAAATAATATTATATTATTATTATCAGCATATTTATGCACATACATTCATTAATTAATACTAAATATGCATATATATACACTCTGTATATGTGTATGTATTTAAAATTTAATCAGTATATTATTATTACTTTTTACATTATTTATTATATATTTAATACAGAGTGGTCCAGTCCAAGAGTTAAAACTGTCAGGAGGTGATTCGTTGGAGTTTTTTTTAGGCAAAAAATCGTGTATGTGTGGCATGGAGGGGGCAAATCCCAAGCCGTTGAAGTTAGAGAAAAGTTGTGTTTGGATTCTTTTCGTGTATGCCGATGATTGGTATCAGACTTATCGTTTTCGCGTAAGAACAGTTCAAACACAAAATTTTGAATTTTGAAAAACGCTAATTATCTCAAAAAAACTTACTATTTTTGTATTTTTCTCCCCCGATACGCTACATCATCCTCTACAACTTTGCTCTACATACATATGCTATAGCATAAGAAGCAATACACTTAAGTATGTATAGTATGATGGGATTAAATAATTAAATTTATCTTGTAATAAGATTTTTATAATTTGTTTTTCTTTTATTTTATTTTATTATTATGATTTTTATTTATTTATTTATTTTTTTTTTTTATTTTCCACTTACATATTATATTATTTTTTCTTATATTAATTTCCTCGAAATTGAATATATCGTTTGTGTGTGTGTGTGTATGTTTTGTGTTATATTGTGTTGTTCTCTTGTCGTTAATTTTTCTTTCTTTTGTTATTTTTATTGTTTTGTTGTTGCTATTATTATATTTTTGCCTCTTTTATATTATTTTTATATTTTCTTGTGACGTAAATAAAACTTGTCAAATTTCTTTCTCTTGTTTTTATTGTTATTATAAATGTATTAGTATATATATAACAAATTATATATATATATATATATATATATATATATATATATATATATATAAATAGGTACTTGTATATTATGTTTAATATTAAATAAATTATAAATTAATTGATATTCACAGGAGTAGATTATTTTAATATTGAATGCATGGCTATATATACATATGAATGCATATATGTATATGAGAACGTATAACAGAATATTATAGATTATATTTGGATATATGTACATACATATATTTGCAATAATTGTAATTAATTTGAAATTATCCTTAAATTATTCTTTAAAAAAATTTTTTTTTTATTTTGTCTTGTATTTTTTTTTAGATAACCAAAAAAGAGAGTATGTATAACAATTTAAAAATATTTTATAAGATTTGTACATATATAAATGATGGTGAATATATATGGTATATAATATTATGGAAAAGTAAGGGGGTCAGATTCCGTAATACTGTAAATCATAAAATATATTGTTATATTACATATATTTTATATACAATATGTTATTATTTGTATGATTTATTTTAATAATAATTTTTATTTAATTATAATTAAATATTTAATAAATTAATTAATAATAAGTGCAGTAAAATTATAAAATTGTTTCTTCGGCCAAATAGGGATTATAACAGGAACGAAAAAGTTTGTAAAATAAGTAAAAATTCTATCTCAATTTTGAGTAAATTTTATGTGACTATAATATTAGTATTGTAGTATTGTAGTATATTATAATATTAGTGAGTAGTATATTATTAGTATTAGTGATTATTAGAATAGTCAGCACAGTAAGCAAGTATGTAGTTTGATAGTGACCTAAAAGCATTCTATCGTACAATAAGGAATGCAAAACCGGTTAAATACAAGGCCGTATAGCTCTCTAGGAACAACATTATTTTTAATTTATGTAAACGAAATAATGAATATGAATATTAATAGAGAAATAAAAGCTTCAGGCTTTTGCAAAATAAAGCAATAACAAGTATATATTATAGAATAGAGATAATTAAAGGACGAGCTTTAATTATCTCTATAGAGGATATAACATAAAAACAATTCAACTCCAGCTTAAAATAGTACGAGCAGATCGTATATATAAAGTTCGAAATTGTTTGATTATTTGAAAAGCACACATTTCTTTCAAAGAACTGAAACATACAATCAGAACATTAGACCAGCTTAAAAATTCAGGACGATTGAAACACAATCAAGTTGTATTTATAATAAAGCGATATGTGAGTTTAATCAATTACTGTCGTGGTTTTATACCGCAAGCCCTTGGTTTAATAAGATATATTTGTGTCTGCAAGCTCTTGTTCCATGCAGAGTATATTCATAATATGTAGAAACTCGAAAAATTTGAGCTTGTTGTCGAAATTTCGGAATTTGTTTAATTAAAATATCTAATTCAATTGCATTTATCGCCCATTATTTTACTATTTGGTATTCGCGATGGTTACATAATATCTTGCACGTGTTGGGTTGAAAATTTCTACCTTAATATCTTTAGAAAATATTCTTATATTTGCAATATAAAAATTTCAATATTCTTAATTACAAAATATTTAAATAATTTCTATTTTTTCTATTAAATTTCTTTTTTTTCAAAAGTTGTGATGGTCATTGCAGCTATAAAATTGTTAAAGGTTTTTCCACTTATTGCACCAATTTATTATCGTTTTAATTTCTACATATATATATATATATATATATATATATATATATATATATAATTTTAAAAAATAAACAAGTTCGAGTATATTACACAACAATTCCAACTAATTCTTATGGAAACGTACAATTGTTGTTATTCCCTTGGCAATTGAATTTTTTAAAATTATTCTAAAGCAATTATGAACTGTGTCAAAAAAAATTTGTGTCAAGTGTAATATAGTTATAGTTGTGAAACTTTTTTAACATTATATAAAAGTCATATATGTATGTATATAAAATTTATTATTCTAATTTAAAAAATAATTTATAATATATAATAAATATTATAATTGTCATGGCTGTTATGCTAGGATAAACTGCCCTCAATATTCGAAAAATATATGGGATTTATTATAAATGGCAATAAATTACAAGATTTAAATATATTTTATAAAATCTATTAACATTCTAATATCATAGCATTTCAATTTTTTTTGTTAAATTTAAAAATTTTTGAGATATGGTTACATTCATACCAAAAAAAATTTCTTACAGTTTTGTACGAACATGGTATCAAAATGAGTATAATTGGTTCCGAAGCTATTTATCTGGCAGACAGCAATATACTGAGTATGATAGCATTCTTAAAGCCATGTTTATGTGTTATCAAGAAAGTTCTTTTGCCTCAACGCAGACGATTCAACAATAGTCTACAACGGAACTAATTTCACAGTGCTTAAAAAAGAGATGACATCAGCCCTATGTATGATTAAAGAGTGGAAGTACAATTTTTTAAGCTCTTTATAAATGCAGAGAAAATAAAATATGTAATATTCAAAAGAAAGCCCAGTAATACCTTGAATATCCAATATGGAAACAAAAAATTTTAAATGGTTCAAAGCTATAAGTATAAATCGGAATTAATATTGATGAAAATTTGATATGCTATACTATACAGATAAGTGAGCAGCTCAAGAAAGGTGGAAGAGTCTGAGGAAGTATTGTAGGCTTGTAGGCACCAGAATTGCGTCAAAAGTAAGTTACCTACTGAAGTTTATCTAATTATTTATAACAATATTAATACCTGTAATTTTAGATCTATAATGAATAGCAACATTCATAGTAATTTTACCAGAACATTATCAGAAGTTTATAAACTCTGTATGAGAGATTTCACTGTTTTCGAGATGGATAATAAAAAAAACTCAAATATGAACTAACGTAATGTACATGTAACGTAATATGCTAACGTAAAAACGCAAAATTTCGAACAAAAAAAAAAAAAAAAAATGCCCCAGAAAGTATGCAATTTTCATTTTAAAATTTAAAACTTTACTTACCATTAATTTTGTCTCCGTTTCGGCATTACTAACTTATGTAATCCATTTTAATTTTTTAATTTTTATAAATTTCAATATTATTATTTTTTTTTATATCTTTTTATCCAAAATTCTATTCGGGCATTTCCTTTTTTTTTTTTTGTTTTCTAGAAAAATTCAACTTTTTTATTCGTTTTTTATTCCTTTTTGTTTTGTCTAAGATTTATTTTTTAAAAGGCACACATCATATTTAAAATTTCTTTTTATTTTTTTATTATTTTTATTTATTTTTTATGAAATTAAATGAAACAGATGCACGAATTTTAAATTGTATTGGAAATTTCAAAGAGCATTTTTTTTTTCTAAAAATTTTTTTTTTTAAGTTTAATAATTTTTTTTTCATTCGCTTTTGATATTTCGTTTTTTTTTTTTTAATTTTAACTTTAACTTTTATTTTTTAAAAGTAATTTTTTTTTTGGATATTTAGAACTTTTCTGTAATTAATTTCTTTTTTTTTAGAACTTTTGTGTATTTTGTTTTTGTTTTTCTTGTTTAAATTAATTTTCCATATACAAAATATTGTTTTGAATTCACTTTTAATACACTGGAATTGTATAAAATATAGGAAAAAATATTATAAATATTATAAATAATGCCAAAAATTGCTCAAATATCTAGTTAATCTCTAAATCTAAAAATTATACATTGTTATATTAATTGTAAGGAATGTGGTAAGCGGTAAGCTTATATGTATGGTATTTATTGCATACGCGTAGGCTTTAATAATTTTAGAAATAATGGTTTTCTAAGACAATCACAAAATATGTTCAAAATATTGCACAAGATATTTTTATGTATTGTAAATTTGCAAGGTAAGAAGAACTAACAGATCAGTTTTTCTATTTCTTACTATACTAGCTTATATATTGTTGTTAGAACGACAAAGCGCATTAAAAAATTCTAATTTTAATTGTCATTCCACCTATTTAAAGTTTTCTAACGAATATTTCTGGATTTAATGTTCGGAATCGGATCGCCAAAATTTTTATATTACAAAAAAATTAAATTATTTCATTGTAAATTATAAGATACAAGATAACAATATTTACCCCTCAAAATTTCTAAAACATTTTATAAAATTATATCAGATAAAAATTTATAATAGATACTAGCTTTTATAATAAGATATTCTACCGTGTTATCAAGGCACTTTTTATTGTTAAGATAGTCACTATATAGATTCTTTGTGGGCTACCTATCCTGTCGACACCTTCATTTACTATAAAAACTGGACAATGCCATGTTATAACACATATTACGGCACTAAAATATTTTTCTGTTATGGAAATATTATTCTTGGTTTGCGTCATAAATGTAAACTAAAATGGGAATCCCTAAATCATTTTTGATTGACATTGCGTAATTATATGGTATAAGTAATTATAGGGTAATTGTGTAATTATAGGCTCAGAGGAATGTCTAAGCCGTTTTAGTGAGGAATCCGTCGTCCTATATTTAATTTTTAATGGTTCTACAGTATTGGGACAAATTTTAAAAACTATAGATTTTCTAATTTAAAAATTTATTTTTCTTCAAAATAAGAAGGAAAAAATTCTAAAATTTTATAATGTAAAGGAAAATTTTAAAGTTTTTTAATTTTAATTTTAAAAGAAATGCTTGAAATTTTATATTTGTAACATCATCCTATGCCTATTATTGGCATTTATTTTTAAATATTTGAAAAATTTTTATAAGGTCAAATAAATTATTATCAAAGCAATTGAAATAAAAAGTAAAAAACAATAAAAGTAAATTGAAATTTTTTTGACCTATTTTCAAAAAAAAAATGTTTTTTAAGTTTTAAACTTTTTAAATTTTATTTTTTTTTATGTAAGAGCTATTGCAAATAAAAATACTGTAAAATAATTATATGAAATCGATAAAGGAAGTTTGTATGTGTGTATTTAAAGTGATAATATGTGATTTATATGATAAAAATTTCCTTCAAATTAAATATTTGGGTTGAAAATGTTTTCGTTTCTACTCTAGTTCTAAAACACATTTTGATTTTGCAATTTAGCAAAATGGCAAAACCATAACATTGTTCAATGTCTTTCATACTTTTTTTTCCTTGTAAACTGAAAATTTACTTGGGTTATTCTTAAAAATGTTAAAGTTCATTACATAATATTGCAATTTGTATCACGAAATATACAAATTATTTGACAAACATAAATTATTTTATACATACGTTTCATATTACTAGATTACTAGAAAATTCTAATATTATAATGAATTATTTAGTCAGAACATAAGCACATGTATTATGTCATATAAACATATAATACAAAGTTTTTTTTTTTTTATTAAAGTAACATCTTGCCTTTTTTCATAAAAAAGAAAAGTTAAATTATAATTTCTATAAGATGGGAAAAAAAAAGGATTCAGAACACGTCTGTCTGAAAATATCGCATATATTAAGTATGTTAGCAATATTTTGTAAATTGTTTTCATAATACTATAAAATGCTATGATATAAAAGGCTACAGTTTTTATTTTAAGAGGGAATAATGAAGAAACATATTAGAGTCAGAGAATATAGAACATATATAAAAATATGAGAATATTTTAAAAATTTTAACAAGTTTTTTCTTTTTGATTAGAATTTTTGAATAAAAGCAATGAGTAAATTGAGCTGAAAATTTTAAAAAGTGAATATCGAGCACAATATGTACATATGTTTCGTTGGGAACTATACTGGTTCTATTTTATCGGCTAAGAAGTTATATTCGCTTATTTTAAAATGTTGCTTCATTTCTTATGGTGTACGCTTAATATTCATTGAAATTAATTCTTCAAAAAAGTAGCTTTTAAAAAAAAATAGTTTTTAATATAATTCAAAATTTAAACTGTTATACAACTTATGAAAACTGTTATACAACTTATGAAAACTGTTATACAACTTATGAAAACTGTTATACTGTTATACTAAACTGTTATACTAACAAAAAAAATTTCTCATAAGAAATTCTTTAAGAATTTTTCCAGTACAGTATATAGTTTCCATATATATGTAAGATATAAAATTATGTCTTTTAATTCAAAATCAAAATTTATTAGGGATAATATTTTAAATAATTTCTGTTACTTTTTTTTTGTACGCCCCACAGTACTTCTAAAGACCGTTGTAATATATAAACATGTGTAACCGAATTAAAATTATAAAAATTGCAACCTCTACAAATATTTGCTTTTCTTGTCATCTAATATTTTTGATTTTCAAAATTTTTAAGCTCAAAAAAAAAAAAATTATGAATTTATTTTAATACCTATTTTATCGAATATAAGCGAATATAAGTAAATGCACATATAATACGAGTATGTAGGTCTATTATCGTACTATACATAAATTATATGTATATACAAAATTTCTGTATAAAACATTTTTATAAATTTTATTTTATTATTATATTTTCAATGCAATCAATTGGAAAAATAAATTTTCGATAACAAGGACGACATCTAAAGCTGTCATTCAAATTTATGACTTTTTCGACACATACAGAGAGAAAGAGGGAGAGAGAGAGATAAAATATAATTTTTTTTTTTCAAAAATTTTTTTTTAGTATTTCCAAAATTTTTATGTAGATTTTCTCTTCTTTTTTGTTTTTTATTAATTCTATTCTGGCCTAAAAATGTAATAGAAATATTTTTTTTTTCCAGTTTAAGGAAAGAGCCAAAAAAAAAAACTGTTCTAATTTTATCTATTCTTTTTTTTTTCTTTGCATTTTCCTTTCAACGTTATCGAATTTTTAGTCGAGAATTATTGACAGTATTCCAATTGAACAAAAAAAAATAATATTATTGCATTTGATAGCAAAATGCAAAATCAATGACATCAGAATAATTTAGTGATCCCATTTACTATATTTTACAAAAAAAAAAAAAAAAATTAGAAAAAAAGAAACAAAAATATTTCACTAAAATAAATTAAATTTCAGTTTTGTTTATAGGTTACAAGATTTTTCGTTAAATTTTGTGTGTTTGTCTTTCTTTTTTTTCAGTGTATTTTCTATATTTTTTGTTGTTTTTTTTTTTTGCAAACATTAAACATTATTCTATGACGTCTTATACTCTGTTTTTTTTTTTCTTGTTGTTGCTATTTCTTTTTTTTATTACTTTTTATATTGTTTTTATTTTGTTCTTGTTTTTTGTTTTTTTTTTCTGAAAAATCTGCATATTTTTTCTCTTCTTATTGTTGTTCTTTTTATATATGGTTTTTTTTATCACATGTTCACTTTCTATATTTCTATATTTTATATAGTAAATTCATATAGCTTATATATTATGAAATTTTATATTACTATATAATATTATGTATGTATGTATGTATATATAACATATGAATATAATAAAAAGGATATATGTAATTAAGGTAAAGAGATATATTATAGGATATGCACATAAATATATATACGTACATTAAAATATGCATATATACTCACGTATATATGTATATATTGTAGTACAGTAAATATTAGTATAACAATTTATGTATATATGTATGTAAAAATTTTTCGAATTGACATATATATTTTAAAAAAAAAAATTGTTATACTGGATAACAAAATTTTATTATCATTTATTTACATATATATACACATAATATATTCGAATATATAAATTAAATGTAAATGTAGGTATATATATATATGATATATAGTATATGTAGGTATATATATAGGAGATTAATTTTTACAGGAGAAATATAAATTAAATTTTTAATTTATAAAATAAAAACCTGATCCAAAAAAGAAAAATAACAATTTTATTAATAAATATTTAAATAAAGAAAAAAGGAATGAAAAATCTTTTAATAAATATTTAATTAATTTATTTATTTTAAATAATATTATTGAACTCAAAAACAAAAAAACGAAATTTCTATTTATTGGTTATTATTTAATTTAATTAAATTTTATTGAATTTTTTTTATTTTAATTTTAATATCAAAGTTAAAATTGAACATTATTAAATTTAAAAAAAAAATTTACAAAGATTTGCAATTAATTATTTTTTATTTAATTTTGATTATATTTTTTTTAAGCAATTTTAGTATTTATATTTATGTTTTATATTACAACTAAGTAATTATAATAATAATATAATAATAATAGTTATAATATATATATATATATATATATATATATATATACATATAATATATATATTAATTTATTATATATTAATTTTATTATATTTTAGGTATTTGCAATGAATATATATATATATATATATTAATAATATATATATATATATATATAATAGATATATATATATATATATATATATATATATATATATATATATATTCATTGCAAATAATTAAAATATATATATATATATATATATATAATAGATATATATATATATATATATATATTCATTGCAAATAATTAAAATATAATATTGTAATGTTAAATTATTATACTCTATTACTCTATATTATGATATTCGTTGCAATACTCTTATAATCAATAAAATTAATTTTGAACAGTGACTTATACGAGTATAAATCTATTTCCGAAATTGACCTATGTAAGT